TTTATTAGGACGTGCCTGCTACGACGATGGGATACGCGAAGCGCCTCCTGCGACGCCAGCAGCCCGGCCTTCAGCTACTCGGCCTCTCGAAGCGCCGCCTCCACCGTCCCGCCGTCAAGCCAGTGCCCACCGAGGCGGACGTCGATCCTATCGAGGCTCCCATTCAGGAGACTGTTCGTGAGCCTTGCAAGGCGGCTACCCAGGATCACGCGTTGATGGGTGGCCCTCGCCCGATGATCGCATACGACCTCGCGAACTTCACCCCGATGCCGCGCTTGGCTCTTCGTCCTCTTCTGCTCATCCTGCCGGACGGGCCCCTCGCTCTAGTTCGCTCGGCCACTCGCCCTCGTACGTTCAGTGCGATGACGGGGATGGAGGCCCGCCCCGGTCCCTCGAGTGGACCTCTTACGATGGCGTCTATCATTGAGGAGGTGAGCATCCTTCTGTTTTCGCTTCACGATTTATACTGAATCTGCTCTTCCAGGACGTTCCTGAGACCACGATGAGATACGCGAAGCGCCTCTTGCGCCGCCAACAGCCTGGCCTACAGCTGTTCGGTCTCTGGAAGCGCCGGGTCCACCGCCACGCCGAGCTGCGCGCGCTTCGCGACGAGATGGGTGGAGACGCTGCGCTTCGACACGCACAGGAGGGACGGAAGATCCTGCAGCAGAACCTTCGTGCAATGTGGGCTGAGGGCGGACGGTTGGAGGTGAGCTCTCTTGGCTCTTTGATGTTTCTCGTTGCTGACAACCTCGCAGCGGCCATCTGCAGAGCCCGAGAACTAGACGCACGCCGCGTTCTCCCTCCACCAACGGCGAATCATCTACGCCACACACCCTATCATTATTCGTCTATCTATTCGTATCGGTCTTAAGTTCTTTTTGTATCACCACTTCTTTCTTGATGTCCGACATGTCGCGAACTCGTAATGCCCTGCGGGTTCGTGGCATGCCGTTCATCGCGTGGGTCAGTACTGTTGGGGGCATCCTTCAGGCTTGACTCGCATTTCCCTTTTCTCCTTTTTCTCTATTTCCCTCTCTCTCGCAAAGTACGGTACTGCAACTGAACACTAGCATGGACTCGGATAGCCAAACGGACTCTTGGATCTCGATTTGTATGACGCGTTTCGATCGCCTTCTCGGCTCTTATACTCTTTCCCTTCTCGTTCCTCGCCTCCAATGTCGTCCGTCCTGTATACTTGTATAACTGGTCCAGAGAACGTGGTTTCGACGGCGGGACATTCCCCATGTATCAAAGTCAACCATATATAGGAATGTATCGCTCCCCTTTGTATTAATCTCCGATCCGAGCACAAGTGAATCTGACTCTGTTCACATGTTTCGAAATGCGCTGAGCAATCGACTGGTGTCTCTCGCGATACTTGTGCATGCAACTATGCAGCGCATGCACTTCAAGTACATGACCGCAACTAAACACCAGTCCGCCAACAATGTGAGGATACCATACTGTGGCCATGCGCAACGCCATGATACTGCTCATGATGGTCCAATAGAGCGCCCACAGTGTTATTGACGCACGCAAGGCTCCTTACATGCGCACAAGAGACAAACAAGACGAAAAGTCACATTCAACGGCATAACACTGAACATAGAGGACATCATCTGCCCACAACTAGCAGAGCTGCTATGAAATGCAGCACACGAGCACAGTCCATAGAGGTCACTGAGAACGAAGCGCATCACGTTCGGCCCGTTGTACGGGACCGCTTGCCAATGCCTGGGGTGATAACAGTATCACCGCGCGTTGATGTGACTAGACGACCGACCGGGAGACGGTGACACAGATAGAGTAGCTAGAGAAGTAGCGTTGACACCGTGCAGAGCAAAGGTCTCGGCCAAGGTGCAGAGCGGGTCGTCACGGTGAGTCGCATGCCTAAGTCCAGAAAGCCAAGAGAATCGCGCAAGACCGCAGAACCGACACGCGAAGAGAACAACCAAGACAAAAGGAGTCGAGAGCAAGGGCGAGAACCAAAACGATAGCGAGGGCGAGGGCGAGGGCGAGAGAACCAGTGGCCAGTCACCCCGTGATGCAAAACATACAGAGCCCTAAAGATCCGCGTCAGCCACACCAATCGCCAGTCGCGCACACAAGCAAAGCTACGCACCAACCACTCCCAGTCTCGCGCGCTACTTGGACCCCACAAAACCCCTCGCCGCGCTGAGTGCTTCAGCAGCAACGCCCAGAGCTGAACTTCAGAGGGGATACAAACTACTGCCCGTCTGTGCTCGAGATTCAAACGAGCATGGGGAGGGGCTCCCGTCGGATTCGTGCGACGATCGACGCGGGCACCTCCGGGAAGTCGATCGCGTGCGAGTTCGGCGGCGTCGTCCGTCCGTTAGTCGAGAGTGACCGAGAAGAAGAGCGGGGCGAATGCGAGCGCTGCGCGTCCACGCTGGCGGGGGAGAACATGCCCGAAAGAGAGAACGACCCCATAGTCGGAGAGAGCGACGGCAAGCGGGGAGCCTCCGTCTGTGCACGCGCTTTCGCGTTGGCCTCCGCCGCCTTCAGTGCCCATGAGGGCGCCCAGAAGTGTGCACCCGCTGCGCAAGCATTGCCGTTGCCACTGAAGGATGGCGTGGCGAATGGGGTAGAGAGGGCTGCTGTGGGAGCGGGAGGAGGGGAGAGGTGCACGAGACAAGGAAGAGAGTTGTACGCTGGCTTTGGCGTCAGCGGGGGAGCGTATTGAGGCTTGGCAAACATGGCGCTGTCCAACTTCAGACTGGATGTGGGACGCCCATGACCTAGCAGACGGGCTTTGGTCCCATAACTTCGTGCATACAGAGGTGAATGGGACTCACCATCACCCCCTTTGCCATCGCGGCGCAAGACGGACTTCAAGAATGAAGACAGCTGCACCCGTCCCAAAGCTTTCTCACCATCGTCTTCCCAGCGTTTTCCTGCCCGTACACGCTTGGCACGCTCGATCCAGATGCAGATGACGACCACGCAGACGACGATCCAAGCCGCGATACCCATATCGATGAGCGGGTAGCTTGACTTTCCCGGTGTGAGAATGAATGCGGCGTCTTCAGTTGCAGCTGCGGCAGAAGAGATGGCGGGAGGAGCGGCGTATGCATGACCAGGATGGAAGGGGAGGGTGATGGGTGCCATAGTACTTGATGCTGGATACTTGTGCTTGAAGGAGAACCGGGTGCTCCAGCGGTGCGAGGACGCTTTGCGAAGAGTGGTTCGGGTGAAGAGGAGGGAAGGGAGGCTGGATGTCAACGTACTTGCATTCCTGACCGGGAGCTCAAGCAGGGAGACCGCTGGGTTTCGCGACGCAGACAATATCGGAATTGGTATGACGTGACGTGGTCATGGCTGGATGTGATCAACTTGACCACCTCGTGAACGGCTAAACATGATAGCCAAAGTGCTTACAGCGTACCTCGACAGTGTCGGAGGGCGATGCTACCCAAGACATGCGGGGAAGGCAGAGGTCGCCTGATACCTATTCATCGCCAGGGAGGTGAGGCGTAATGCGTACGTGCTGGGTTCGTCTTCGTCTTGGTCTTTGATGCAAGAGGACCGAGGCAAGTTCCCTGTGGAGAGGAGAGCGAAGAAAGAGTTCCTGGGCTGTTGGGTGTCGCCGTCGCCTCCGTGTCATGACGATGAACGACTGAGGTGGATGAAAACAGTCACGGGCGTCTGAGCGATGTACATAGAGTGAGGAGTGTACGTAAGCATCACCGAAACCTTGCCACTGATCTCGCCTCCACCCTCTTTCACAACCGTACACGTACTACAGGTCGACTCCCGCTTATAATGGCTACGATTATGATATGGATAACTTAAACAGAAATTGAGCCTGCGCAACTCAAGGTCAAGTCTCGCCCGCATGCTCTTCCAAAGTACTGTCTTCCGCATCGAGTGCACACTGCATGCGCCAGTCACACTGTTACATGAATGTTCAAGGGGTTTCATAAGGCTGTATCCGGTGCGTGATTGTACACTATAACAACGAACGATCTTATTCCAGCAACGTGAAGAAATTCGGCATGCGCTAGTTTCCCCCAGCCTCCTTCGCTGCGGCGAAGAGGGCCAAGGTACTCAGCCCGGGGACCAACGACAAGGTCCATGCCAGGATCGGGTCTCCGACTCGCCGCACTGGCGACCGAGGGCCCGACCCCTACCCCGGGAAAAGAGGGAAATACGTACCTACTCGCCCGAAGCCACGATGGTCACCGCCCACTACGCGCTGTCGACCAACCATGTCAGCCTCGCGCACCATCCAGAGTATCATTGCAGACGACTCACGCGTCCATATTGCCACGACCGCCACACCACGCCGTACACTCGCACTGTGTCGCGCTCCCCGCCGGTGCATTGCCGGCGGTGCGTCCTCCATGGGCTCGCTGGAGCGCGACGAGGCCGACAGCCCGGACGCCCGGTTCGCGCGGGTGACTTCCGTCACCGCACGCCGTGCGGTTCCGCGCCCCTGCGGCCGTACTGGGCCAGTGGTAGCTTGCCGATCACCGCAGGGGCTTTGACTGTCGTAGGAGTATGCGAGGACGTGCGTGGCTGCCCACCGTGCTTAGCTGGCGATGGCGAACACGGATGGTAAGCATACATTGTACCGGTCGCTCTGACTGGGTGTGTTGACTTACCCTCGGTGGGTCACTGAGTTGCTCCTCCGTGGCAGTGGCTCTAGCGTCGACGAGATATCCGCATCGGTCGTCTTGATAGCCGATGGTCTTGACTCTGGAGGTCTTGAGGCTGTCTTGAGGTTGAAGTGGGGCCAAGCTTACCTTCACATCAGACAGGCGAGATCTAGAGATAATCATAGGAGGAGATGGGAGAAGCAGACAAAGAAGGATGGGGAGGAAGGAACGCGTCAGGCAGAGTTTTTATATCCCCAGCCTCAGGCTGTTGCGTTCGTGACTGAGGACATTGCATGTCAGCCTCCCGGTCAGCCCCCCGGTCAGCCTCTGCGGCGGTCTCGATCACTGGGGAACTCGGCTGGCACCTCGATAAGATAGTTTGAGGCCTAACGCCCCCGGACCTCGTTTGCTATGCAACAATGAGCGTGAACATTTCCGTGCGGATACCGAGGCTTAGGCCTGAAGTTGTGCAATGCCAGCACTGACTCAGAGTAGGGCTCCAGATGGGCTATCCCGACAAGGTGGACCAGTTCAGAGAGTTATAGGAACCAAACGAGGACCGGAGCCCTGTTCAGATTCGTGCGGGTAGGCGCTTTCCGTGACATGCCGTCTGTACTGGCACACAGGGGATACACCAGTTGTTTGGGCGTGGCTCTACTAGTAAATTACAAGAATAAGTTAGGATGTAGCAGCAGGTTCAGTTACGCGGTGTCAGCTAGATTGGCTTGTACAACTTTACACGCAATGGGAGTTGGCTGCCCTTCTCCAATGCATCACGGATGTACGGCCGCTGTACGATGGCGGATTTCTTGATGATATCTTCTGCGGGGAGCGCCAGTTCGAAGGTGAAGGATCGCACGAGGACGAAAAGCAGCGCCTTCATCCTGGGGTATTGTCAATGGATGATGTATATGTGACACGGTCGCTGATAACTCACTCCATGAGTGCCAATCGGTACCCGATGCACGCGTGTGGTCCGCCCAAGAACGTCATGAGGTTGCCCCACACTCCCGGGACAGACTGGGCCGCGTCTGGCCGCTTCTCCCATCTATCGGGCCTGAGCAATATTCGGCTCAGAGCGACGAGGAACGTCATGTATATCGAACTCACCTGAATTCGGACGCGTCTTCTCCCCAGACAGGTTTGGACGTGTTGATAGTCTGGATAGGAATGATCACCTGCATGCCCTTCCGCATCCTGGGACACCGATCCATTGTCAAGCAACGACCATGCAAGATTAACCCATGACACGTGCCTAACGCAGTCTCGTACCCGCCCATGGCGGTCGTAGAAGGGCGTGCCGAACGGAATCACGTCGTCCTTGAGCGCCACCCGCACTGTGTGGCGCACAGGCGGGTGCACGCGGAGCGTCTCGCGCACTACCGCGTCGAGGTACGGCAGCGCGTTGAGTTCGTCCATGGACGGCGTCTCCGTTTCGACGGCGAGCAGCTCCTCGCGGAGCTTCTGCTGCACCTCTGGGACCTGGGCGAGCGCAAATAGACACCATGTCATTCCGTAGCTCGTCGTTTCGTGACCTGCGATCAGGAATCTGCGCCACATCAAAATCCCTGAGCGATGACGAATCGTAACGACCTACGTAGGCACCTCTGAGCGATGCGAGTCAGTGTTCAAGCTGCCAGCAGCCGATGGCACTACACTCACGGGCAAGTACGTCTTCGTCCGACAACCTTTGATGCTCTGGGATGTTGCTGTTCATGTTCGCCTTGATCAGCAAGGTGAGCAGGTCGCGACTGCCTAGCACTTCGCTCGACTCCTTTCCGCTCGACATTGCCTTCAGGACATCTGCCTTCTTCTCTCGGATGAGCTGCATCCCGACCCGCCGCGTCACTTCCTGAGAAGCGTCCCTAAGCCGTGAGAATTCGCCAGGCTACGACATGGCACCAAGGATTGTCAGATCCTGAACACATGGAGGATTGACGAACGTACCAAATATCGCGACAGCGGTACCAGATGATGGAGCAGCAAGGTGTAAACGGTGCCGCGTCCTCCTCCTGTGAGGGCTCCGAACACCGAAGTGAAGGCAGCATTGAGCTCGTTGGGTTTGCCGCTCTCGTCAAGCGAGTTGAGCGGGTAATTGAAGCCTATGAGCGGTGACCGGTCAGCAACGAGACGCTTCGGGGCTACGTCGTACGAACCTGCGAGCCCGATCATATCGAGAGCCGTCTTGCTCATGTCGGATGCCACATCTATAGTGACGGCGTCTTGTGACATTAGTGTCCGGGCCTTCCAGACGTTCTTGAGCTAGAGGATCGAGGTGTATTTAGCTGGGATGTCACAGTCTGTGATCATGATCATTGAACTCACTTTGTGCGCTTCCTCCACAAATATGCTTTCCAGTTCCCGTATTTGTGCAGGCCAGAATGCAGGATTCTGTGGAAAGGGACATAAGGAAGCTCCTGAAACGCACATACGGACGCTCTCACCATGATACGCCTCTGGTGCAATGCCATACGTCAGCTCGAGTAAACACACTGTCAACTGTCATGGCTTACCTGTTGACGGTGCTGGTCCCCTTGTTGAACGATGATGATGATGATGAACTCAGGATTTATTAACCGCAACAAGCAAACAACCCTTGTTGAACGAGTCAGTGTTGCAAAATGAAAGTAGTCGCTTATATGCTTACCCTCCACGATGAGCAGACCTGCGAAGGGCATGAATGACCTGTAAAACGGATCCTCGCGACTACAACATACCATGACCAAAAATTTCGCCTAACATGAACGCGACCGTACCGGGCTTCGGATAGTTGCTCGAATGGGTAAGTACGTGGTTCAGAGCCTTGGCGTCCAGTGTGTAGAGCGCGTCTGCCTGTCGTCGTCAAAGAGAGTTGGTGAAGGCAAGTCGAGTCTAATAACGAGAATTACGCACACAGAACCAGTCTTTGAACTCAAATGTCGGGCCGTACGTGTCAATCCAGGCAGCATCGTCTACCTGCCATCGATGGATGTTGCCAGACAGCCAACTTGTTGCGGCCGGGCCTCGTAGGTGCCGGATGCTCGATCTGTACGGTATTGTCAATATAACGGGCTATCTTCCACACCACATATGCGAGCGTGGCCGCGGGCAGGTACAAAAGTAGTTGCGACGTCGTAACGGCCGAAGCCATATTTCTAGGGAGTATGAAGGGCGTCGGGAGGCACCTCTGGGTGGGATGTGGTACTCCGGGGTGAGATGTGGTCAGTGACGTCGCTCCCCACAATAGAGACCAGGAGATCGCTTTGTATCTAAGTGACTTTCCCATTGGTGCATAGTAGAGAAGGAGGACGCACCAGCAAATAGGAGTGGTGGGATGCCTTCAAGCTAGCTGTTGTCGAACTTGACCTGGTCTCGGATACATGGCATGTACTTAAGTAGGACACGGCAATGGTACATCACATCGGGCGAAGTACCGCATACACTCAGGCGCACACATCGCATGTTGAAACAAAAGTGTTGCAATGTACTCGATACGAGGTTCAACTCACAGTATGTCAACCTCGAATTGATGGTCACGGTGGCACCGTTCTCCCAACGTTCTCCGACCTCTGAGTCGGGTGGCGCACGCGGCTATCTTAGGACAAAACACTCTGACCGTGACAAAACACTTTGTGCAAAGCGTCTGCATGTCACTTATAACTTACAAAGGAGGTTGAAGAGGGTCTGCCTAGGGGAGACTAATTAGTAGGTATGGCGGTGCCAGCGTCACTGCTTGACTCACTGCATCTATCCTTCTACCGGCCCGGCGGTTCCAGCTCATACTGCGATAAGGCTGTCGCTGTAAGTTCAAAACACAGGCTGACGTTTGAACTTTGGACTGACTGTAACCTTTCCAGAGATGTGACGTACCGGAACATGACCCGCTGAGTGCGCCAGCTGAAATACCGACATCCCGGGCTAATGTCATCCGACCCCGCGAATCACGTATGCATGCTACGAGTACAAATTGCGAACCACAGTCACATCACGTCCTGGTCCATCGATCCGAAAGTCCACTGTCCATTTGCGAGTGATGCGATGAACGACTAGTCTTCATAACAAACATGGTGTAGCGCACATCGAGCAGCAATCCGAACAGAGAGGACTGACAGGGAGCACAATTCCTCGAACGATGTCGAGCGCGGGCCGGATATTACGCAAGGTTGTCGGAGAGGAACAGGCAGCGCGCAACGGTGAGGTGATTACACAAAGTGAAGGTAGCGCGGATAAGCGGGGGCGACGAGGCGGAGGAAGGTGAAAACGTCCAGGAGCGATATCCAACGAGAAGGCGAAGAGAGCGGAGCGCGGGATTAGGCAGAGTGCAACGGTCGAAGTAATAAAAGAGGTGATAGATGGACCATTATGAGAAACTAAAATTGTTCAGGCATCTATTCACACATTATGAAAAGCGTACTCACCGAGTGTAATATGACCTACACCGTACAAGACCGGTCAACAATTCAGACGCGATTAAAGAAGCCGGTGACAACAGGTTGAGGAACAGCCACGACATCTTTTCCCGGCGAGCGTCCGACCTTCGAGTTCGAGATAACATTCGGGCTGAGGGAACGGATGCCATTGGTCGTCGTAAGCGACTCGCAGCTCGACCCAAAGCGCGCCTGCAGGTCCGCAAAGGCGGCGTCCAGCCGGTAGCGCGCCATCACGAGGTCATGCTCTGAGTACGTCGCCGGGTTGCAGCACACTGAGTTCGGAGTGTGGCTGCGGCCGTGAGTCGACTTCAAGTACAGCGCGGATGAGGGAGAGCATTTGAGTGGAGCAGGCGATGTCCTCGCTGGGACATAGGGAAGCTTGACCTGAGAACGAGAGTGTTGGACGGTGAGAGGCGGGAAGTCCGGAAAGGAGAGTAGTGGGGCCGAAGGGGCGTATGGGACTGTGGGCTGGTAGGCGACCCAGTCGGTCTGGCAAGGAGGAAGCGGGGTTGACGTCAGACTGTAAATTATGCATGCGGAAGCGCGCACCTCGATGGGCTTGCTGGTGAGCGTTGGGCTAGCTTCGGCGCTTGACGTCTGCGTCAGGACACGCCAGATACGCGTCTCTAGGCTGGGCCGAGCCTTGCATTTCTCGAGATTGGCCACCCAGTCTACGTCATGGTTACGCGGCGTGAGGCAAACGTACAAAGTATACCATGCGAACACCAACGCAAGGAGCGCCGCAGCGAAGAGGATCGCAAGGCCGATGCTTTTACTAGCGTCGAGCATGAAGATCCCGCGCGGAGAGACGTGTCTCCGGGGTAAGGCAAGGCCTAGGATACGAGTTATAACAGTTAGCAGTAACGCCGAGGAAGGGAGGACATGTCGCAAGCTAAGTTTTGCATCATGTTGTGTCTATACATGGCTACCACAAGAGACGAGACTCAACATTGTCCAACCCGAGTCGTGGCGTCGTGGCGCGGCCCTTCAAGCTTGAAACGTCAGACTTCATAACAGTTGGCACGCACTCGTCCGAGTTGCAGTACACGCATCAACCCGCGAACGTGTCTCGTCAACGTTGTAATGGAAAACACATCGGCGAGTACATGCGCCGATAACATAGCGAATGTCGTGGTGCACGGTTGGGCTAAATGCATTGAGATGTCGTCAGTAGCGAATGATCGCATGACACTCAGTAGAGGGACTGCATGTCGTGACTCTCAATCGCCAGAGACTGGCACAGAGCTTGAGCTTCAAGATTAGTCGTGATTATCATATGCATGTGGTGCTTCAGTCTGCAAGTCATCGGCAAGAACAGCGCAGTCTCTGAGATGCCGA